CCTGTTGGAGATACAGAACAACAAGTCTTCTCTTTGCCCATGAATATGCCTCCTCTGTGGCCAAGTTTACAGCAAGGGAAGAATGGTCACCTGGTTTTCCTGAGCCCTTAAGGCCAAGGCAGTCCTGTAGGAAGCGCAGGGGATTGTCCAGCCAACAGAACAGCCACTCATCACCTGCTAAGTCTATTCTTAAACATCTCAGCCAGGCTCTTAAAGGGTTACACATCCTTTAACATTAATCCACTTTTATTCTTCAGAATTGCTCCTTTTTACATCTAATGTAAATTAGAGTGAAGAGATCAAACTCATCAATGGGTACTTTTAAGGAGGAAGTATTAACTTGTTCCATTTAGTAGCTATATGAATATATAAAAATTACAAAACATTACATGAGAAGATACCTATGTGAGAAAACTGGAATACATTAGTCATAAAATTACTTTCCAGGACTCTTTGAAATTTGTTCTTATATTTTTTCATTCATTATTTTTTAAGGATTCTCAAGAATCTTGTAGAAACCTGGTGCCTGTACAAAGAGTGGTGTACAATGTTCTCAGTGAGCTGGAGAAGAACTTTAACCTAGAAGTTCTGAAGATATTGTTCAGCGATGTCCACATGAAGGAATATCCTGATTTAATTCCCATTTATAAAAGCTTCATAAATGGTAATTAGGTTTATTACCTACGATTTGAGGTCCAGGGCCAATGTTTTAAACAAGCATATATTGATCTTCTACCATGTGCCACAAACTGTGCTGAGCAGTGGGGATACAGTAGTTAACAAAACAGGCATGTCATGAGCCTTCTTGAAGCTATGGTGTAATAGCTATGGTACAACCACCTACAGGTCTCCTTAACCAGACATTTAGACTCAGAAGACAACAGAACCACGTTGGCACCAGGTTTACTTAGAAGAACATAGAATAAGCAACACAGAATCCCAACAGGGCAACATTGGTTGCTTCTCTTCAGCTGGAGCCTTTGCAGTGGTCTACACAGCAGTCCACCAAGTTTACTACAACCTGCCTTGAGTGACAGCTCAGCTGTGGTTGCAGGATCCACCTTGGCCTAGCCCCACATTCCCGTGGGAGTCAATATCTCTTATAACACCTCCATAGTCATAGCTTTCAGGGACCCCACAATAGGTAAGCTGAGTTACAAGAGTTACCACATAGAAGGAAGGCCAAAGTTACGCCTTCCCATCAGGTATTTGTACTTCATGTTTCATCCCTCCCAGTCTGCCAGTCATGGGTCTTTTCGAAGCCCAGTGTTTGCCTGGTAACAGAACAAAAAGGCCATAATTTCCAGAGTAACGAACAAGGAAGTAAACCCTGGGTCAAATTTGCCTTTGGCAAAGGAGAAATGGGTATTTCTACCCTTTATCCACAAGGAGTGAAACAAACATTAACCAAATAATCACAAAACTGATTGCTCTTCCAGGGATTATTTTTGGTGCTATACAAAACTAACAGTTTAATTTTAGACTTTTTCCTGAGAAGGCATGATTTTACTCTTTTATGGGGACACAGTAAAGAAGACACCCTCCATTTTTTTTTTTTTTTTTTTACTTCCCTAGATAACTTTTTATTCCAATGTAGTTTGGTCTCAACCAAGTTCTCCAAATAAGAGCTAGAGACATCACAAGAAAAGTGGACACATGCCCTGAGCAGGGTGGATGCAATGGGAACAGGAATAAAAAGTGTGAAAACATACCTGCAAAACAGAACAAATTGGATTTGGCCAAATCTAGGAGTGCAAAGCAGTGTAGGAGCTGATTCAGGAGAGATAAGTTAAAGAAAGATTTTGAACCATCTGGCATTTAAAGCTGAGGAATTTGAAGCTTATTTAAGAGGCAACAAAGAGATACTACAGGTCTATAAACACAAAAAAAAATTTAAGAAGGTATATATGGCTTGTTGATTTGTGTCAACAGTAACCTTATCTAATTAAGAATAAAATAATTTTAGCTAGGCGCGGTGGCTCACGCCTGTAATCCTAGCATTTGGGGAAGCTGAGGTGGGAGGATTGACTGAGCTCAGGAGTTCCAGACCAACCTGAACAAAAATGAGACCCTGTTTCTACTAAAAATAGAAAATTTAGCCCAGTCTCGTGGCACAGGCCTGTAGTCCCACTACTGGAGAGACTGTGGCAGGAGGATCGCTTCAGGCCAGGAGTTTGAGGTTGCAGTGAGCTATGATGATGCCACTGCACTCTACCCAGGACAACAGAATGAGACTCTGTCTCAAAAAAACAGTAAATAAAATAAGATAAAATAAAATAATTTCGATAGCAAGTCATTCAAACCAGAACAGGAAATTAAAGGAAGTCGAATACCTGTGCGCAAATTTCAAATCAATATTGTATTTGTAACCAGGATGTCCCCAGGTTGTAGGTGCCAAGGTAATGGTGTTACCTTTACTGGTCACATCTCAGGGACTCTGATCCTCTCCATGGACTACAGGGAGCCTGCAAGGTCTCCGAGTGGCTCCCGGTGCTTGGGTGATGAGATGGAGGCTCACTGCTGCCCAGGGCACTGCCCACTGCCTCACCCAGTGCTGTGCCCCATTGCCTTCTGGGAATGCTGCCTCCTCCTGGACCCTGAAGTCCATGCGAGCTGCCCCTGTGTCCTCTGTTATGTTTTTTGGGAATCATTCCTCCTCCTTGACCCAATTAAGCCAAAACCTTCCTCTTTTCTAGCCCCATTACTAAAGCTGTTGGGGTTTTCGCTTTTATAATCAGCTCTCTCTAGGACCAAAGACCTTCTCCCCAAGAAATTCCCATTTCTTCCTTAGTTTGAACAGTTCACAAAACACACTTCACTTCTATTACTTATTTTGACATGTGCTTTTCCTGCCATCTGAAATTGTTTTTAGGTGAGTAACATGGCTCACAATGTTTTTAATTCTCCTTTAGTCTTAAATCTTGAGAATCTCTTTTCTGTGTGGGAAACAAAGTCTTCCTTGATGGGGTCTTCTCTTTGCTGTCCCGGGGATAACCAGAGAACGTTAAGTCATGTGGGACCCACTGAGCTCTCAGTGACACAAGGGCTGGAAATTCCTAAATGTATAATTTAGAGATGTTGTCGCTGGTCTCTGCTGGAGATAACTAATTTCCTTCTCTCTCCTGCTGACTCTGTCTCTGGCTCTTCAGTGCTCCCAGACAAATCGTATTTACAAGAAAGTGATGAAGAAGGGAGAGAGGAGGGGCCCAGCAGCCAACTAAGGCTTGAACAAGGTAATAACGACAGGACAGACTTTCTCAGCTGCTAAGAAGAAAAGGGGCCCGAGGTGCTGAGTGGAGATTGCGAATCGGGGAAGAATGAGGAAGGACCATGGGGACGGCAGGGAGGGGAGTCTGTCTGAGCTCCCACCCAGGTGTGGGTCCTGGAGGGGCAGCCATCACAAGACACTTCTGGCCCAATAACCAGGATGAAGGGACAGGAGCGAGTGTGTCAGTAGCCAGATTGCAAGACTAACTGCCTGGGAGTGATGGTGATGTAGCCAGGTCCCTCAGGAGAAGATCCCTGTGAAGCTGTGAAGGGCTAAGAACTGTGGCCCATGGTCAATACTAAAGAGAAGACTCTGAGTGAAAGACAAACAGATGTCTTAGTTGTCTGAGCCCTCACACTCACAGCACTTCTGACAGCACCTGTGCGGGGTTTTCCCCATGCCAACCAGTTCTCCAGTTCTGTGCAGATGCCAAGTGTCCTCTGATTTAATTCAGTTTTACCAGAGTTAGCACAGACTGTGCATGTTAAGGGTCAGGCCCTCACTTCAGTCACCAGTCACAGGTCTCAGGTTGTGACCTGTGCTCCTTACCAACTGGCTGTAAATCAGAGGTTCCCATGACCTCCTCTTTGGTTTTGATACTTGGCTAGCACAGCTCACAGAACTCAGGGAAACATTTACACGTTTGCCAAATTACTATAAAAAATACAACTCAAGAACAGCCAAATTAAAGAGACGCGTAGGGCAACGTATGGGGAAGGGGCACACAGCTTCCGCACCCTCTCTGGGCGCACCACCCTCCCAGCACTCCCGTTTGTTTGCCAGCCCAGAAGCGCTCTGAACCCAGTCATCTAGGGCTGTTACAGAAATTCCATTATATAGGCACAATTGATAAAATAATGGGCTGTAGGTGATTAAGTCAACCTCCTGCCCTACTCTCCTTCCTGGAGGCCAGGGGATGGGCTGAAAGTCCCAAACCTCTAGTCATGTGTTTAGTTTGCCCACGAAACAGCCCCCCCCATCCTTAGGGGGGGCTGTTTGAAAAATCACCTCATTAACATAACCTCAGGCTTATTATGCATCACAAAAGATGCTCTTTTCACCATTAATACTTAGGATATTACAAGGGCTTTGGGAACTCTGGCCAGGAGCAGGGGAAGTCCAAAATATATATTTCTTCTGACATCACAATATTACACTTGGTGGTGGAAGAAGAAAGGACTGATTTAAATGTGGGGGATGCTGTTCAAGAGCAGGAATATTCACAGAGAAAGGAAGTGACAGAGAGAGACACAGAGGAAGTGGTTCAGATGTGAAGAGGACATGAGTACTTTGAGAGAGAGAGAGAGACAGAGGAGAAGGAGGGGAAACCAAAGGCTGAAGAGAAGAGCTGTGTTGTTAATAGTAACAGCTTACTCTGAATGAACATCTGCTCTGTGGCAGTTGCGGGTTTAGTGCTCATGGCTGCCATTGGAGATTAGTGTTACTTACGAGCCCATCTTGCAGATAGGGAAACTGAAATCTAGGGAGACCACGTGTGGATTTTGCCTAGGGTCAGATGAGCAAAGATGAACCCAGGTGTTCTGAACCCAGAGCCTGTGTCTTAACCCTGTGCTGCCACCCAGGTAATCTAACAGAAAAGGCAGAAACATGGAACAAAAATGGGTTCATATATGCAGACATAAAAATACAGAGAAAAAAATAGCAAGAGCTGCAGGAGGTAGAAGCGCATCAGACACTGAATCCCCATGGAAAGGCCGACAGGAAAGAGTGAACAGATGGGGGGTGGGCAGGGTATGAAAGGGGGTGGGGCCGAGGCAACCAGGACTTGGCAGGAACTGATGGAGGGGCAGCTCTGGGACAAAGGCAGGGTCACTCTGGCCAGAGATGTCAAGACAAGCTGTGGCCGGTTACCAGAGTACGAGGCGGCCTGGCCGAGGCCTCTCAGCCAGGGGTGTGGCTGACCTGGTGGATCTGCCAGTTCCCAATGGGAACTGCACTGAGACTTAGAGGGGTCTTTAACTCCTACACCATAAAGACTAAAAAGGGACTAGGGGAGAATGACGAAACCCATGGTTCAATTTCTGAAACAAACTTCTCATTTCTTCCCCCCAGGAACTGGTGAAAACTCTTCTCAAAGCCTGCCTGGACCACACTCAGATTCCTCCTTTTTCACTGGTCTGTTCCTGTTGACTGTTCTGTCCTTTGTTGCCTCATCCCATTCTGGAATGTGCTGTGGGGCTGCCTCTTGTGTAACTGATTGCCCAGAATTTTCAGTCTTTGCATCTGTAATGTTTTCAAGTTCAGGATTTAAATAACAGGTCTTTATCCTCTGGGTTGCCTGGGAGGGTTTCTTCTTCTCGTACCCCTTGGACATACCTGCTGCCAGTTCCTGCTGGCTCTGGTCCTGGATGTTTTACTCATGTGCCTGCTTTACAGTTTTCTGCCTGTGTCTGCTTGACTGTGGCTACGGCCTTAGTGCTTTGACCTCCATCCAGAGGTGGCCCGGGCTGTGGTGGTTGGAGGGGACAGGGAGTGATGAGCAGCAGGGGCAAATAAAATATTTATGAATCAAAATGCCATTTAGGTACAATCCCACCTGAAAGCGGACTCTTGGAGCACCTCTGTGAAACAGAACAGGCAAACACAAGGAGAAATGATATGATCAGAGGCAAAAGTGGTACACTAGGATGCCAACGAGCAAATCAACAACGTGTCCAAAAGCCTGAGCCAGCAGGTAAGACTAACTGACTGGGTTTGCATGAGTGTGGAGGGGCTGGGGGGCCCTGGCTGAGGGCAGGGAGTGGACTAACGCACGATGCAGGGAGACAGTTATTTAACAAAGGGGGAATCACACAGACACGGAGAGGGCAGGAAAGGAGCCTGATATCCTGATGAACAGACCTGGAGGAGGAAAGTTAGGAAGGAAAACTGGGAGACAAGGGGGAGAGTTGCAGAGCCTCACCAGGGAAGAGAATCAGAAACAAAAGGTGAAAGAAGTTGTTAGAGAGAGGCTGGCCATGGACTCAGTGAAGCACAGACACCTTCACAGGGTGGAGGCAGCAATAGATGCAGACAGGGCTGTTAAGTAGAAACTTGAGAAGGAAAGAGAGGCAGGGTGAGGTATAGCAGAATGAAAATAGGACAGAGCAAGGCTGTATTGTGTCTCAGCTGTGCTCTCTATTGTCTTCAGAGTCCTGCGGACCAGTAGGGACTAATGGAAATTGCAAGAAAGGAGACATCCAGCCCATTGTCCTGTGATGAACAAAATAATTGTTACTTACCTATAATTTTTTTTCACACGCTCTGTCTTTTGGTTATTTGTGTATTTTTTACCATTTTAACTATTTCTTTAAATTGACAAATTAAAGACTGTATATATTTATTATGTACAATGTTGTTCTGAAATATATATAGGTTGTGACAAGGCTAAATTTAGCTAATTTACTTATACATTACCTTACATACTTACCATTTTTTGTGGTGAGAACACTTAAAGTCTATTTTCTTTCTTAGTAATTTTCAAGAATACCATACGTTATTAACTGTTGCCACCATGTTATACAATAGATCTCTTGAACTTATTCTTTCTAATTGAAACTTTGTATATTTTGACCAACATCTCCCCAATCTCCTTCTCTCCCCAACCCCCACCTCGTCACCACCACATACTCTCAACTTCTATGAGTTCAACTTTTCTGCACTCTGTGTATATGTGAGATATGCTATATTCGTCTCTCTGTGTTTGGCTTATTTCACTTAACACAGTGTCCTCCAGGTTCATTCATGTTGTTGCAAATCACAGGATTTTCATCATTTTTGAGGCCGAGTAGTATTCCATTGTGTATATATGTATGACATTTCTTTATCCATTCATCCATTGATGCCATTGATAGATACTTAAATTGATTTCAAATCTTGGCTATTGCGAATAATGCTGCAGTGAACACGGGAGTGCAGACATCTCAGTGTGCAGACAGTCCCTGACTTAAGATGGTTTGACTTAAGATTTTTCAAGTTTATGATGGGTTTATCAACGTATTAAATGCGTTTTTGACTTACAGTACTTTTGATTTACAATGGGCTTATGGAGATGTAGCAAAGTCATAGGTCTAGAAGCATCTGTACTGATTTCATATCCTTTGGATATATACCAAATATGGGGATTGCTGGATCATACGGTAGTTCTATTTTTAATTTTTTGAGGAAACTCAATACTGTTTTCCATAATGGTTGAACTAATTTACATTCCCACTAACAATGTGCCAGGGTTCCCTCTTCTCCATATACTTGAATTGTTTATTATCTGTAGTCTTTGATAACAGCCTTTCCAACAAGTATAAGGTGATATCTCTTTGTGGTTTTAATTTGCATTTTCTTGACGATTAGAGATACTGAGCATTTTGATACTGTTGACCATTTTTATGTGTTCCTTTGAGAAATGTCTACTCAGATCCTTTGCCCATTTTTAAATTGGTTTGTTTTTTTCTATTGAATCATTTGAATTCCTTATATATTTTGGATATCAACCCCTTATCAGATATATGGTTTGCCAATATTTTCTCCTATTCTGTAGGCTGCCCCTTTATTCTAGTGATGGTTTCCTTGCTATACAGAGGCTTTTTAAAGTGATGTAGCTCCACTTGTTTATTTTTGCTCTTGTCGATTGTGTTTTTGGTGTTATATCTGAAAAATCATTGTTCAGACCAATGTCATGGAGCTTCCCTCTATGTTTTCTTCTAGTAATTTACAATTTCAGGTCTTATGTTTAAATGCTTAATCAATTTTGAGTTGCTTTTTTAGTATGGTGTGAGATAAGGATCTCATTTCATTCTCCTGCATGTGGATATCCAGTTGTCCTGATACTATTTATTAAAGAGACTTTCCTTTCTCTATTGTGTGTGCTTGGCACCTTTGTTAAAAATCAATTGACCATAAATGCTGAATACAAACTGTCTATTTTGTTCCTCTTGTCTATGTCTCTATTTTTATGCCAGTATGATCCTGTTTGAATTACTATAGCTTTGTAGCATATTTTGAAGTCAGGTAGTGTGATACTTTCAGCTTTGTTCTTTTTGTTTAAAATTGCTTTGGCTATTCAGGGTTTTTTGTGCTTCCACATAAATTTTAGATTTGTTTTTTCTATTTCTGTGAAAAAAAACATTGAAATTTTCATACGGATTGCACTGAATCCGTAGAGCACTTTGAGTAGTATGGACATTTTAAAAATATTAATTCTTCCAATCCATGAACATGGGATATCTTTCTATTCCTTTGTTTCTTCTTCAATTTCTTTCATCAATGCCTAGAGTTTTTAGGGTATGCATATTTCACCTCCTTGGTTAAATTCATTCTTAAATATTTTTTATAGTTATCATAAATTGGTTTACTCTGATTTCTTTTTCAGATACTTTATTGTTAGTGTATAAAAATGCAACTGATTTTTGCACATGGATTTTGATTTGATTTTTTACTGAATTTTTTTCTAGTTCTAGCAATTTTTTGGTGATATTTTCATGGTTTTCTACATATAAGATCATGTCATCTGTGAAGAGGTACAATATAACCTCCTCTTTTCCAATTTGGGTGCCTTTTATTTCTTTTTATTGCCTAATTGCTCTGGCTAGGATTTGCAGTACTATATTGAGTGGAAGTGGTGAAGAGTGAGCCTCCTAATCTTATTCCCAATGTTAGAGGGAAAACTTTCAACTTTTCACCATTGAGTAGGATGTTAGTTACAGGCTTGTCATATATGACCCTTATTGTGTTGTTGTACATTTATTCCATGGTTAATTTTTGAGAGTTTTTATCATGTTGAGAATTTTTATTGTGAAAGAAGGTTGAATCTTGTCAAATGCTTTTTCTGCATCTATTGAGATAATTATATGGTTTTTGTCCTTCATTCTATTAATGCAGTGTGTGATTTCTTTATAGACTCATGTATGTCGAACCATCATTGCATCCCAGGGACAAATCCCACTTCATCATAGTGAATATCTTTTTAATGTGTTATTGAATTTGATGTACGAGTACTTTTTGAAGGATTTTTAATGTATGTTTATGAGGGATATTGGCCTGTAATTTTCTTTTCTTGTCATGTTCTTGTCCGGGTTTAGTATCCTGGTAATGCTGGCCTCATAGAATGAGTTTGGAAGTATCTCCTCATCTACATTTTTTAGAAGAGTTTGAGAAGAATTGGTATTAGTTCTTTAAATGTTTGGTGGGATTCAGCAGTGAAACCATCTGGTCCTGGGCTTTTGTTTGATGGGGGGTATTTGATTGTGGATTAAATCTCCTTACTTGTTATTGGTCTGTTCAGATTTTTCTGTTTCTTTGTGATTCAGTCTTTGTAGGCTTTATGTGTCTGGGAATTTATTGATTTCTTCTAGGTTATCCAATTTTTTGGTGTGTAATTTTTCATAGTATTCTCTTATGATCCTTTGTATTTCTGTGGTATGAGTTGTATCATCTCCTCTTCCATTTTGACTTTATTCATTTCGGTCTTCTCTCTTTTTTTCTTAGTCTAGCTAAAGGTTTATTAATTTTGTCTGTCTTTTCGAAAATCCAATTCTTTCTTTTCTTGATCTTTTTATTGTTTTTCTAGCCTCTATCTCATTTACCTCTGATCCAATATTATTTCCCTCTTTCTCTTAATTTTGAGCTTAATTTTTCATCTTTTTCTAGTTTCATGAGGGGTAACCTTAGGTTATTTGAGATCTTTCCTCCTTCTTTATGTAGCTGTTTATTGCTATAAACTTCCCCTCTTAGAACTGCTCTTGCTGAATCCCATAAGTTTTGATATATTGTATTTCCATTTTCATTTACCTCAAGATATTTTTAAGTTTCCCTTTTAATATATTCATTGACCCATTGGTTGTTCAGGAGCATGTTATTTAATTTCCATGTGTCTGTGAATTTTCCAAATTCTTCCTGTTATTGATTCTAGTTTCCTGTCATTGTGGTCACAAACAATGCTTGATATAATTTCAACCTTCTTGACTTTTTTAAGACTTGTCTTGTGGCCTAACATATGATTTATCCTGGAGATTGTTCCATATATAATTAAGAAGAATGTGTATTCTTCTGCTTTTGGATAGAATGGTCTGTGTATGCCTATTAGGTCCATTTGGTCTAAAGTGTAATTTAAGTGCAATGTTTCCTTATTCATTTTCTGTCTGGATGATATATTCATTCTGAAAGTAAGGGGTTGAAGTTCCCTACTGTAATTGTATTGCAGTCTATCTTTCTTTCAGATATATTAATATTTGCTTTATTTATTTAGTTGCTTGTGTGTTGGGCACATTTACATTTATAATTATTATATCATCTTGATGAATTGACCCTTTCATCATTATATAATGATATTTTTTGTCTTCATTTATAGTATTTGATTTGAAGTTTATTTTATTTTACGTGATATAAGTACAGCTATTCCTTCTTTGTTTGGTTTCCATTTGCATGGGATACCTTTTTTCGTGTTTTAATTTTCAGTCTATTAGTGTCCTTAAAGGTGAAGTGAGTCTTTTGTAGGCCCCACATATTTGAGTAATTTTTTTATTTACTCAGCCATTCTATGTCTGTTGATTGGAGAATTTAATCCATTTAAATTTGAGGTAATTACTGGTAGGTAAGTAATTATTACTGCCATTTTGTTAATTATTTTTTGGTTGTTTTGTAGATCCTTTATTCCTTTCTTCCTCTTTTGTTGTTTTCTTTTGTTATTAGGTGATTTTTCTC